TGTATGATGAGTGGTGTATGATGAGTGGTGTATGATGAGTGGTGTATTGATGAGTGGTGTATTGATGAGTGGTGTATGATCAGTGGTGTATTGATGAGTGGTGCATGATGAGTGGTGTATGATGAGTGGTGTATTGATGAGTGGTGTATTGATGAGTGGTGTATGAACAGTTCTTGAATGTCCGTAACACGGAAGTTTCGTACACTAAACTTCCTTTGATTATTGTCTTATTCCAAGTCTCATGATAGGTATGGTCTGCATCACATATCCAGCAGCACACTTCTGGCAAACTCCGCCACTTGACGTGCGACAGCCTTGACATTTCTCGCCGGCATCACAGCAAGTGAAGTGGTAGGCGTTGTTCGAAAAGTCACCGATTAAGGCTTGCCCAGGAGTACACTTCCTTGGATTTGCTCAAGACCAAAATAACCACTAATATGGCATTATGGTGAACAAAAGGGCAATCTATGGACATTTGGCTGGGGACATAAAAGATCCTTTTCAGCCCTTGGCTCTCGAATTACCCAACCCAAAATGATCCAGGCCCAGCGCATCCTTCAACGACCAGGGTTGCGTACAATTCATTGATTTGTTGTGGAAAAACAGAACTTTGGGAAAACTGCAGGCGTGGCTTCGGCTTCTGTCTCAAATCCGATAGCTGTGAATTCATCTCCAATTGCAGCGTTCTCCTAGCAGGGTTAAACCATGGTGGAACAAATGTGCAACATAAATTCATTAAAGAAAAAGAACGCTAGGGGTTCATAGGGGTTCCGTACCGGTTGATAGTTGTCTCATTCCACTGTCACAGGTGGGGGCTGTCCATGTTTGTGGAACTTCCTGAACACTTTTTGCCTCACTTGCCTTCTGGGACTTCTTGGGCACTGTCGAAAGCGCATTCCTGGAGTCGACCACAAATCCTCGAATCCCTTTAAAGCCGGGCTGGGCATTGGGCGGAGAAAACTTTCTGTGCCATCGCCAGAAAAGTGGTCCGCGGAGTCCGCGGACAAGGAGCTTGTGGGTCGCCTGCATCGAAATTGATGTTTGGTTCAGCTTGAGGCCTTGAACACATTTGAAGCTACTAGTAACAGGTGCCACGCTAGTAGTAACAAGTGCCTTACTAGTAGTAACAAGAAGCTATTAGGAACTAGCCTTAACATATAAGTTCTTGTTTCTTTTTGTTTCTGGTTGTTTGAGGTTTCCAGGTTGATGCTTCTTCGGAATACACGCTTGTTTGCTGATGCAGGAGTGGAACCATTTATGTCAAGAATGACCTACAATTCCATCTTCTGGGTCCAGATTCTGCGTTGCTTGTCCTTCAACTCTTAAAGGTAAGCAAAAAGTTACATCTTTCGGCACTTTTTGAAACAGCAAACCACTGCCAACTGGTGTCTGGTGACTTCTGCAAACTGCAAATGGTGTCATCCGCAGTCACCAAACTGAGTAGACAAGGCCACCATGGGTGGAAAACACACTGGATGGGCCGCATGGGAAACCACAACCTGGCACGGCTGACCCTGTGGCCACCAACCCCGGAATGGTTTTGGAACGAGCCGAAACTGCAAAGGAACTCATGCAAACATATTGGTGTCTGGCACTAGGGCCAGTCCTTTTCATATACATGATCTTGCTAGAGAGACCAGGAATGAACAAAAAGACGCGCAACCTTGCCCAAACTGGGAATTACTTTACTTCGAAATTCCCCACCCTCAAAGAATTGGTCTTCACAAGAGAAAAGCGGTTCGGCGCGAAAAGGATTCTTTATTGAAAACAAAACCACACATCGAGTACTTACTTGTGAGGTTTCTGAACTTCGATATTTTAATGCCTGGCAACCCCGCATCCCTGCCAAGTCAACTTGTGGTGGATATGCTGTGGAACTGGTACTTGGGAGCACTCTGGTGAATGTGCTGGTGTAAAGGCTACGCTGGGCTACTCGGGGCCACTCTGGTGGATGTGCTGTGTAAGGGCTACTCTGGGCCACTGTGGGCCACTCTGGTGGATGTGCCGTGTTCTTTGGGTTGCTCTGAGCTACGCCGGGACCACTCTGGTGGATGTGCAGAAGTAGCGAGTCTACTGAAGTCCAAAGTTCTTAAAATCTAACAGCCCCACAGTCCTACGGGTGGGGAAAAAACTGCTTTGATAAGTACATTACAAGTCTACAACTATCCTGCGATCTCTTTGGTAAATGTGCTGTGGAGAAGCTAAGTTGCGCTACTAAAAACTGTGGTTGCTGTGGACAAGCTAAGTTGAACTACTTAGAAATCAGTTTGTGAATGTGCTGTGGAAGAGCTAGGCAGCTAGGTTTAGCTACTCAGGGATCAGTTTGGTGAATGTGGTGTGGATACTCAGAGGTCATTTTGGTGAATGTGCTGTGGAAGTGCTACGTTGAATTACTCAGGGATTACTTTGGTGAACAGGGATCAGTTTGGCGAGCGTGCTGTGAAAGAGCCACTTTGGGCTACTCAGAGATCACCTTGGTGAACGTGCTGTGGACTTTGGGCTACTCCGGGATCTCTTTGGTGAACATGCTGTGGAAGTGCTGCGTTGAACTACTCAGGGATCACTTTGGTGAGTGTGCTATGGAAGAACTGCTTTGGGCTACTCAGGGATTACTTTGGCGAGTGTGGTGTGGAAGAGCTA